CCCAACCTGCAGCCTGTAGCCCCGTCATCGCGCGCACCTGACCCAGAGCTCATGGTCCCATCACCACGCGCCCAACCTGCAGCCTGTAGCTCCGTCATCATGTGCACCTGACCCAGAGTTCATGGTCCCATCACCATGCGCACCCAAACTGCAGCCCCCAGCCCCGTCACCACGTGCACCCAACCTGCAACCTGTAGCTCCGTCATCACCACGCACACCTGACCCAGACCTCATGGTCCCATCACCACGCACACCCAACCTAGAGCCCGCGGCCCCATCACCACACACACCCTCCCGGAGCCCACGGCCCCATCATCATGCACACCTGACCCAGAACCCATGGCCCCGTCACCTTGTGCTCCCACCCACAGGTAGTGGCCCTGTCACCACACACACTGGACCTGGAGTCTACACCCGTCACCACATGCATGCGGCTTGGTGCCTGTGACACCCCAGACGTGTAGGGGTGCTCTGCTGCACGCTCTCACTGGCTGTCTCTGTGAAGAGGTGGACAGTGAGGAGAGGACAGAAGGGTGGCACTCCCGGTGGGGGGTGGCAAAGGACAGCAAGTCCCCACTGGACATCAGGGAGAAGGGACAGAGAAGAAAAGGTGGTGTGATGACGCAAGCCAAGACTGGCGGGGTCCCCCAAGCCTCCGGAAGCACCAGCCTGCCACCATGCCCTCCGAGACTCTCGGCTTCCACAGCTACAAGTGTGTATCGTCAGCTGCTGCCGAGGCGACCCTCTGACCTCGGGAACGAAGGAACCACACTGCCTAGGCCTGTGCAGCCCCACATCCACAGACCACTGGTCTTTATTTGTCCTAGCAGGAACTCCCACAAGACCATGAGAAAAGAAGGTAGCAAGTGAAGCCAGGTGGCCGGGGTGGTGAACAGAGCCGCCCCCACCCCCCGTGGCCATCCTCCCAGCCTCATTTATTAGGGGTGGGCGACAGCAGCCGCTGAGAAGGGCCAGGCTTCTCTCTGCACCAAGCCGGGAGCCCCCAAGGGCGGCTGACCAGTCTCCTCTCTTCCCCCTCCACCACGACTTCTGCAGCCCCAGCTGTCAGCGACCCGAGGTGCGGGCCCCAGCATGGACGGAACCCTGTCACCTCCCTTCTGTGGATCCAGAGGGCCAGTGGCCACAGTCCGGGAGTGGACTCTATGGAGGACGGTCTCTGCTGTGGATCCAGAGGGCCAGTGGCCACAGTCCGGGAGTGGACTCTATGGAGGACAGTCCCCTCTGTGGATCCGGAGGGACCCAGTGCACACAGCCCAGAACAGACCATTCGGAGGACAGTCCTTTTCTGCAGCTGCGGAAGAGCTCAGATGGGTGGGAGCCTGCAAACCAGCTGTTAAGGACTCAGCTGTGTCCTTGTGTTCTGTGTCCAGAACATTGTGAGACCTAACTCCTATCTGTGTCTACAGACACCAGGGGCCATGCAGACCACAGAGCGCATGGACCACCGCAGACTGACCACCACAGCCCTGACCCCGGGCAATGCTGCCGCTGGCAGTGCAGGCCACCACGGTGCTGACCACAGACAGGGCAGACCACCAGAGCGCTGACCACAGGAAGTGCAGACCACCACAGCTCTGACGGGCCAGTGCAGGCCACTACAGCGCTGACCACAGGTAGTGCGGACCACAGACTATGTTGACCACCGCAGCACTGACCACCAGCAGTGCAGACCACCGAAGTGCTGACCAGCGCCGGCACACCAGATCCTGTCCCCGACAGCACGCCCAAGCACGGCCAAGGAGGCCCATCTGCTCTGACAAAGGTGGAAGCAGGGGGAGTGCGTGGCAGCCCTGCGGCCTGATCCTGGTTTCACGGCAGAGACTGGGATGTACGCCGGGCTGCATAAAGCCCACTGGGAGACTCAGGGAGACCCTGGCCTCCCCCAGGACCACAGGCCACGCTGGCTTCCAGACCTCGGTCCGAGCTGACCCCGGGGCCACCACCTCCAAGACCACTACTCCAGTGGCATCCTGACCTCGCCCCAAAGCCACCCCCTCAGCACTGTGGGCTGGCCAGCACCTCTCTGGGGTGCATTCAGCTTCCTGGGGTACCAGCTCAAGGGAACACTACCCACCCTCTTGGGCATGGCCAGCCCAGCGTGAGTTGGGGGGACAGCAAGGGGCGGCAGGCAGCTGTATGCACTGGCCTGGCTCATTCCGCCCTCAGGCAGCATAAGGTCAGGTCAAGGCCTGGCCCAGCCTCAGATGACCTGGGTGACCTCGTGCAGGCCCCCCACCACCTGAAGCTGGGAAAGATGAGGGGGCAGGAGCTGACAGCTCCCCCTAGCCATGGGGAGTGGTCCGACTGGCAGACCCCACCCTGTCCATCAGCACCCCTGTGACCCTGTCATCCTCGTCCCTCCTTACAGAACACCATCTGAATGCCGTTCACCTCCCCCATCTGTTACTAGGAGGGCAGCATAGAATGTTCTGGAACACTCGTGAGATGCCTGCTCCAGCAGAGCCCCTGTGCTGGGATCATAAGTCCGCACCTGAACAGCCTGCAGCCCCGAGTGCCAGCACCCATCCAGGGGACAGCCCCTCACCTCAGCTCAAGCTCCCGGCCACTAACAAAGAACAAGACCCCACGGAGGGGCCCCAGGGGGCGAAGCGGCAAGACTGGGCCCCTGGTGGAGCAGACCTGGCTTGGGGTCACTTCCAGCCTGACTGTGGGTTCACCCCACGAGCGTGGAGCCCGTGTCTTCATCTCCAACGATCGCTCTGACAAACAGGTCTCAGGATAAAGGCCTGGAGGTCAGCAGCAGTGACGGAGCGCCCACGGAGGCCAGCTCTCCTCCGACACACGGGGCAGCGGGCACCCTTTCACTGGACTGAAGCAACCAGCCTGGCTGACGCACTGGACTGTGGTGGTGGACCCCAAGTCCTCAAGCCGACACTTCACCCGAGCAAGGACTGGGGGGAACGACACCCCAAAGCTGCTACCCTGAGGGAGCTCTGGTGGCCCTAGTGGCAAGAAGCTGCACTGCAATCCCAGAGGTATGTGGTTCGAATCCACCAGATGCTCTGCTGGAGAAGGAGGGACAATCTCCTCCAGTACCAGTCAGATCTGATTGGACGCTACACACTCCAAGCTGCTACCCTCACCACCCGACCACATGAAGGCCGGCAGCCAGGCAAGTCCCTTCCCAGGGAGATGCCCAAGACCTGGCTCCTAACAGGGCCAGCCAGAGATCACCACAAGCTGGGCCCTTAGGAGACCACTGGAGGGGTGTGGCCTCCAGGTCTGGAGGGGTACCCAGGGACTAGGACCCACGTGTAATAAACAGTCCTCAAGCTGGTGAAGATGGACAGTCCTGAATCTAGTGGAAGACAATCCTGAAACCAGTGAGGGCAAATGGTGGCCAAGGGGGACAGAAAGGTCATCCTGTCGCCACGGGGGACCAGCCCTGAAGACCACGGCCTGGACACAGGTGCTCTTCCGCCCAGCATGCTCTGGGGGTGGGTGTCGGGGCCACAGCAGGTGGCCCCTACCCTCCTGAGAGTGTTAGACGCACCCAGGTCCTATATCCAGGCTCGAGGGGGCAGCTAATCAGACGAGGGGCATCTGAATGCAGTCTTGGGGCACAATGATTAAGTGCATTCCAGCCATCAGAAAGGGTGGGGGTTCAATACCACAGGCAGCTGCACCAGAGCAGGACCTGGGAGGAGGTCACTAAAGACCGTGACACCCATCAACAAACGAATGGACAGGAAAACTATGGGACATTCACACAGTGGAATATTATGCAACACTGAAAGACAATGAATTCGTAAAATATTACCCAACATGGGGGAGCCTGGAGGACATCATGTTGAATGAACTATCTCAGTCACAAAAGGACAAATACTGCACAACACTCCTATTATAAAATGGGACAGACATGGGGGTGTTGGGGAGAGAATGGGAAAAGAGTGGATAGATAATGAACACTGCCTAAGAGCAGATGAGGTGAAGAAATGTCCGAAAGGATTATAAGATTAGGCATTATATACATATAAATAAAACAACAATCTGAAATAAGGGATGCATTGCTGGGTGGGCTGAGAGAGGGAGAGGGAAGGAGGAAGAAAATGTACAACAAGGAAAATAATTAAAACAATAATAAAAAAAAAGACAGTGACAGCCTAGGAGATCCCAGGAGGCAGTGGGGAGCCATGTGACAGAACCGGACAAGCGGCACAAAGAGTGACCCGCGGGCCAGGGCAGTGCTGTGGACAGCGCTCATGGTGACTCTGCACAGAGGCTGCGCAGGGTCCCGGAGCCCGCCCGCGGGGACAGGAGGCTCAGGGCAGTGCTGTGGGCAGAGCACAGGGTGACTCCCCGCAGAGGCTGGGCAGGGTCCTGGAACCTGCCCGGCTCAGCCCCAGCTCGCCCGCCCGCAGGGACAGGAGGCTCACGCGGGGGGCAGCACTCCTGCCCTGGTGTCTC